TCATGGGAAGAAGGGGGCTGCTTCATGTGGGGTATCACCCAGGCTTTGAGAGAAGCCCTTGGAGATCATGGGGTTTCCTGGCACCAGTGGAGTAGGGGGAAGGCAATTGATGGCTCCTACATGGGACTGGGCTCAGGTGGGTAGGGGTAGCCTTGGCCTCACAGATGTAACCACCCTGAGCTTCAGGCCACAGACACAATCCTGGCCATTGCTGGCTTGACCTCTCTTCTCTTTCCCTCTGTGCGTCCCACCCAGCTGCTCCTGAAAGCCCCAAAGCTGGAGAAGAGGCTGCCAGATTACTGTGCCATCAGCACATTTGTATATTTGCTCACCACCAAAGGCTACAGCTTCAACAACCACTCCTTCCCCAACATTGCCTTCCAGAAGAAGGTGGGTAGCACCAAAATCCATCCCCATCCCATGGCATCTCTTTGGAGTTAGGCCAAAGAACCCTGCAGAAGAGATGATCCCTCATGGAAAAAGAGCAAAGCAGAATAAAGGAATATCTCAGTGAACAGGGGCAGGATGGAACTCTCAGGTTTTGGAGGGATCTCCTAGGGGATGGAAACAAATGAGCTGAACTGGCTATTGGGGTGGTCATGGGATCACATCCTTCAGCCCTTCCTTGGCTCTCAAGACACCAGCCATCCAAACAATGGTTTGCTGAGGCTTTTTGGGAAGTTACCTCAGGGCAGGAGGTACTTTTGTCTGCCATGCTATGGGATGTGCAAGGAGATCAGGACTGGCCTGAGCATACAAGGTTTTACTCCCAGGGGATGAGCCCAGTTCTGCACAAGATGGTCACTGCTCTGTCCCTGGGCTGGCTGGACCTGTGGGCAAGCAGAGGCTCAAGGGGGCTGCAGCTTCCCCCACACTCTTCTCCCTTGGGCTGACACTGAAGCTGTCCCAGAAGGGTCTGGAATACAAGTCTTATGAGGAACAGCTGAAAGAGCTGGGGGAACTCAGCCTGGAGAAAAGGAAGTTCAAGAGGGACCTTCTCACTCTCTATAACACCCTGACAGGAGATTGTAGCCAGGAGAGGGTTGGTATCTTCTCACAGGTTAACATGTCACAGGACAAGGAAATGGCCCCAAATTGTGCCAGGGGAAGTTTCAGTTATATTTCAGGAAAAATTGCTTCATGTAAAGTGTGGTCAGGCATTGGAACAGGCTGCCCACGGATGGGGTAGTTACCATCCCTGGAGGGATTTAGAACATGTGTGGATGTGGCACTTGGGGGACATGGTTTAGTGGTGGCCTTGGCAGTGCTGCTGTTACTGGTTGGACTCCATGATCTTAGTTGTCTTTTCCAACTTCAGTGATTCCATGATTCTATGGTCTCCTGAGGCCCATGCAGCTGGGCTGGCTGGATGGTGACTATGCCATGCTGTTTCCACAGGCAGGAGAAACCTCCATTGGCTGGGCCCTGGGCTACATGCTGAACCTCACCAACATGATCCCAGCAGAGAAGCCCTCCTCCCACAAGAGCATGCTGTATAATTACTGGGTCATCCTCATCCTGCTCTTCGTGGTCACCACCCTGACATCCTTGGTGACTGCTATCTGCCTGCTCCGGCACAGCAAGTCCAGCATAATCTGATGGCAGGGACAGGGTGGGCCATATCTGCAGGACCAGCACCATCCTACCTGCTGGAGGCTCCATGCTCTGAATGCTTGGGATGTGGCAAGTGCTCAATGTCCTCCTCCAAAACCTGACACCATCCCAGAAGATTAGCTGTGTCCTTTTGCCTTCCCTTTGCCCTCTAGCTGTGGGAAAGGAAGAAGAGGATCACTGGCCCTGTGGGAGAAGGGCTTAAATGTTTCCCTGCACTACTCAGGGATGGACCCTGGAGCAGGCTTGGAAATGGGACATTCAGAGCTAGGGCATCTTTCTGCCACCAGAGCTGAGCTGAACTGAGCCAATGAGCCGAAGCAACAAGAGGATTAATTTACATGTGTATGTGTATGAATGGGGAATATTACTTACACTAGTCCTTATAGCCAACCGCCAACCTTGCTAGCCTGTCCCTGGAGCATCAGCCCTGCCTCCTGGGGAGCTCTGGGCATCACCTGAAGCTCACGTCTTTCTGTCTGATGTACAAACCCCAGTGACCTTCCTGAAGGGAAGGTCTTCTCCTTGGCCATTGGCCTCAGCTTTGGGTAAGGACTTAGCAACAACCACATGTGGGAAGATGGCAGCTTACAGGTCCCACTTCAACCACCAGACATAATGCCTTCACTACCCCCATGGTTCCTATGCTAGACTTGTCTTTGCCACATTCAAAGACTCCTGCACACCCCAGTTCCTGCTGCTCTGTGGTACATGGCCATGCTGGCACAGAGCCAACAGGCTCCCACACTGTGGGGCTTTCCTCTGCACTGAGATTTGAGCCTGGCATCACCCTACACCAGGCAGCTAGGAGGATGCACCTTCTTTTCCAATTGAGTAAGAACAGGGATGTACAAACATGAAGAAGGTTTGGTTTTGCTTGATTTTTTAAAATAATCTGAAATAAACCTTTGTAACCACTACAATGGCTTAGTGGCTTGTGATCAGCAACAGGCATTCAGCCTGGCTGTCCCATGGGGGCAGAAGCCCTCAGCCACATCCACAGGCCAGGCTCTGCCCAAAGGTCTCAGCCCTTGCAGCCTGTCCAGTGCTGAGACACTGTCACAGCTCTGTGGGCTCTACCAGCCTGGAGATGACCTCAAATAGACCAAGGTGGGCTGGAAACCTGACACCAGACCCAGACCCACCTGGAGGTGGAGGAGCTCCAGCCAGCCAGTCACCAAGCTCATGCTTCCCCAATGCTGGAGGTACAGTCACCCCAAGGCCAAAGCAGGCAGCTCAAGCTGTCCCTCACTGCCACAGCCCCCAGCAAAACAACCTGCCAGCAGCCTCCACTGCCAGGGCCCAGCTCTGGTGCTCAAGGGCACCAGCAAAGCAGCTCACATTTGCTGCTGCAGTCACTGGCAGCTCAGACACCAGGACACACATTGCAGTGCTCAGCAGCTGCATGGGACTGGTCCAAGCTCTCCAATCCTTTTGGAAGCCTTCCCCTGCCCTGCCCTTTCCACAAACACTAGAGAGGAATAGCTGCGGGGAGCTGCAGTTTCTCATTGCCCTCTTTGCTCCTGTTGGCAGTGCCAACTCTGCTCCGTGGGTTTGCTCGCTTCCCAACACCCTTCCCTGCCCCAGCTGAACTCCTGGAATACCATGCCTGACTTAACACACCTGTTCCCTGCAGCACTTTGCTTTCAGCTCTTCCACTGGCTGCTCCCCATCTCTCTGCACAGGGCAAACCTGATTCCAGTTCAGAGGATGCTGTGAACCTCCAAGCCTAGCTTCCCCCCCAAGCTCATCTCCTCAGCACAGGGACTCCCTCCTGTGGTGATGTTCAGGGCCTGTCTATGTATGTCATATGGAGAAGGCACTTCTGGTTCCTGAAGCTGAAACACTGCTCTAAGAACCTGGGCAGCTCCCAGAATTCAGGCTGAGTTTCCTCTTCTAAGAAATTCAGCTGCAGCTGAATCAGAGCTGGACGTCCACCAAGAGCAGACAATTGACCTAGTCAAGACTTGGAGTCTGACATGGAAAAACCCCACATGCCCCACTGTGTGCACGGGGTTTGAGACAGTACCATTACCTTGTAGTTATGGATTCGGATGGGCAATCTGGGACTAGCCGGTGACAGGCGAGCACTGCCAAGAGGGGCTTTGGGCACATGGTCAGCTCTGTTGCAGGGGAAGGGGACACCCCAGAGGCCACCCGGCTGTGGGACTCAGCTCTGGCCTGTTCAGGTAGGTATGAAAAGCCTTGCTGCTATGGTGGAAGGGACATGGGGACTGGCTGGGCTCAGGAAACAGGTGACACAGCAACAGCTCTACCCTCACAACTTAGACCAGACCGGTCTGCACCTGCAGTCTCAGAGCAATCCAAGTACTGACTGTGGCTGCCATCACCACAGAGGGACCAGAGCTCTCTGCTCCAACATTCACTGCAGAGGTTGCCTCAGGTTGACATTCACCACCTGCTCTGCCCTTCACCTCATCCACAACAAGTGCATTCAGCTCTCAACTTTTATTGTACCCCAAGTGCAATGTGCAGAGGCCATGGGGCAGGCAGCAATCCCTGAGGTGCCTCCACCATGCTGTCTCTGGCAGGATCAAGTCCTCAGAGCTTTCCAGAAGTGTCACCAAGCCCACCACCCTCACAGGCAGCATGGGCAGTGTCAGGCTGGGCAGACAGGAAGGGGTGAAGTGGGACATGGGCACGGCAGGCTATGCTCTGCTGGCTACTCCACCACGTCACCGTACTTGTTCCTCCTCACCAGTGTTGCAGCGCCGTCCCTTTCTTCTGCACTAGGGAGGTTTTCTGCAACAAGAAAGTACAAGTTCCCTGGACCTCCAACTACCCTGGTGGGTTTGCCAAACGTGGGGAAAGAACCACAGAGCCTTGGTGAAGCACGTAAAGCCTCTTCAAGTTGGCCTAGCTTTGGAAGCTCAAGGTATGTATGGGAGAAATCAGCAAGCACCAATGAGAATTGTCCAGCAGTTGCTGTCTTGATGCCCTTCCAATTCTGCCCACCCTACTGGGCAGCAAATCCCTCCACACCTCAGTTGCTCTCTCCATCCCTTACCTTCTCCTTCCTCTTCCAGCAAATGAGCCATTTGTGCTGGCTTTTGTGAATACCCAAAGCAGGCAGGGCAGAAGGCAGCAGCAAGTGCACCCAGCCCACATCACCAGCCCTGCTCAGGAACCCACTGTGCCAGGTGCACAGAGGGACAGGGGAGACATGAAACTAGGTTAGGAGCTCCACCTGCCATGGGTGCTCCTGCTCCCACCCCCTGGCTGCAGGGTGCCAGTGTGGGACTTATATAATGAGATTTTGGCAATGACACGGTCACCAGCTAAATTACAAGACAGCAAAGTAATTATTGCAGCAGGGAAGAACCAGGCACAACAAGCTCAGGCAAAGCAGTAGGAAGATATGACTGTACCTGCGGGTTGAGACAATCCACCAGTCACGGCAAACTCTTGTGGGGACTTGCCTGTCTCCAGATAAATCCAGAAGTTGGAGCATTTCTGCGTCTCAGCTCTGGTTACCACGTAGCTTCCGAGGGACCCTGCAGCTGGGGCAGCCGAGGTGCTCCTGGGAGTGCCAGCAGCACCTGCTGCCCCGAACCCTCCTGAGCCCTGGGGACCGGGGCACTGGGAGGTGGCTGGAGCCAGAGACGAGCCCCCATAACAGTGGCAAACACCACTCTGTACCGCTCGGGCTGGGTGCTTACCCGCAGCCAACAGCAGGCTCCACTGCAGGCTGTACGGCAGCTTCTGCCGCGCCATCTTCTGCACCGCGAAGGCGGCCCCGCTGCCTGCCGAGACCGAGGCCGGGGTTACCGGACACGGCCGGGACGGGATCCCCACTGCCCCCGCAGAGCGGCCAAGGACAGCCCGGGGGATGCCGGGGTGGCTGGACCGGCCCGTACCTGCCAAGAAGGTGCCGATGCCCTTCATGAAGGCGTGAGACTGGCAAGCCGCGTACTGCTGCAGCGCCTGCGGGGAGGCATCAGCGCGAAGGCCGCAGGCCCACCTGGCCCCCTCAGTCCCGACATACCCCCCCCCCGCACCCCCAGGCCCCCCAGCCCGTTCCCCGCGGGGCGCACCGGGTGCCTGGCGGCCACATCGTCCTCCACCCGCCGCACGCCCAGGTTCACCATGGCGAGGTTGCTGGGCCCGGCCTGGGGCAGGACCCGCCCCTGCCACCCGCCCCTTCCGCCGCGGCCATGGCGGAACCGGCGGGGCCCTTTCATGTGCTCCGAACCGGGACAGGCCGGTTCCTCTGCTACTGCGGACCCGACGGTGCCGTCTAGTGAGAGCGGGGCGGGAGAAGGAGCAGGTGGGGGGCGGGCGGGGATCGAGCAGCCCTGGCCTGAGCTGCTTCCTCCTGCAGTGTGACCGACGCGATGGAGGTCTGGGCCGGGGAGCTCGGTGGCTGCCCGGCGCTCGGCTTTGTATGTACCGGGGGGAACAGGGGGAGGCGGGAGAACCCGGGGCTGAGACCGCGGTGCCGGAGGGGCAGGGAGGGATCTGCACCCAGGCTAGGCCGTGTTGGACGCGCTCTCCTCCTCCTCTCCCTCTGCAGCGGTGCCCGCCGGAGGAGCACGGCGCGATGCTCAGGTGGGTGCCGCCGCCCTGGGACCTCCCTCGCTGCGGGCACCCTCTCCCCCGGGCTCCCCCCACCCTAGGCCCACCTCGCCCGGAGCCCCTCTCTCTCCTGCTCCCCTTACCCTCGCTCCCCGCAGGGCCGCCCTGGATCGCGGAACCGCCGCGCTGAGCCTGGGCCCGGGTTCGGCCACGCTGCGGCTGCCGGAGGAGCCGCAGTGCCCGGCCCTGGCCCTTGCCCAGCTGCCCGCCGCCGAGGCGCGCAGCCAGCTGCAGGCGCTGCTCTTCGGCATGGCCGGCTGCATCGAGAGCCTGGAGAGGCGCCTGGAAGGTGCGTGGTGGGTTTAGAAGAGGGGAGAGCTAGCAGCTCCTGCCACCTTCATGGGATCGTCACCCCCACCTAAAGTGCCCGAGGTGCCCCAGTTCAGCCGCAGCAGGAGAGAGCTTCAGCCCAGGTGGTTTCTTCTCACCAGTCCCAGTAGATCTGGTAGAGCTGCTGCCCGTCACTTCCCTGTTGGGGCTAGGCCGGGAGGACACAGTGCTCTGTCTCTGTGTGGAAACACAGCCCTTGTTCTCATGGCCAGCACCACACTAGCATCCTGAATGTCAGGGTTGCCTTATAGATATTTTTGTCTGAGGGATCTGGAAAGATTTTGGAGCAGCAGCAGTCTGGATGGAAGTGCTGAGAGGAGAATGGGGCTCAGTTTGGCTGTGGAGGGAGGCTTGAATTGCTGCATGTGGAATTAGGGGACGTTGTCACAAGCTTCGCCTCTGGCTCCTGTCTCAGTAGCAGTGGAGACGTTAGCATCTTCCTGCAGCCCCGAGAAGAACGCTGCCCGGAGCCAGCAGCTCTTCCTGCCAGGTAGGCACTGCCAGGGGCACCTGCCCTGCTCCTGCAGTCTTTTGTCTTCTCCCTCCTGGAGGCTGCTGGTCCTGTATCCACGTGCTCTCCAGGACACTCTGAGTGCCCTCAGCTCTGGCTGCTGGCAGCCACCTGTTGTCCTGGTGCTCTTCCAGGCAGAGCAGGGCCAGGGCTTAGTGTGGTGGCTCTCAGGGTGTCTGGGATGCTCAGGTCAAAGGCTGGGCATTGCCAGCCTCAGAAGGAGGGCAGGCTTTCCTTTGCTTCCAGACTGGAGGCTGTGTGGATCCATGGCTCCTTTTGGGAGAGGAGGCCAAGTCTGGCCCTTTCTTGCCCTCTGTGGCTGCTGGTCCTGCCAGGCTGGGCTCCTGGAGGCTCCCCCCAACCGTGAAGGGACCGGCAGGGCAGCCAGAGCTCCTGGGTAACCTGTAATCTGTGTCCTGCCTGTTCCTCACCGAGGCAGACCCCAGCCCCAGGAAGAGTAAGGCTTCTGGCTCAGCTTTGCCAGGCAAAAGGAAGGTACCGGGGGAGTCTCTCATTAACCCTGGTTTCAAAAGGTCAGTGCTGGGGCTGGATGCTGCTCGCTGGGCACCCTGTGGGCTCTGCTCCAAAGTTATGGGACAGCAGGGCTTGGGACTTGTGACTGGTGTTTCTTCCCTCTCCTTCCAGCAAGAAGGCACCATCTGGAGTGAATTTCGAGGACTCCTGATGGGTGCTGTCCTGTGTCCTGATGAAAGCCCTATGGACCCCTGTGTCTGAGCGAGGAGGTGTCCCTGTTGTTCTGGACCTGCTGAGCTCCTCAACCCACGGAGACAACAGAGGCAGCAGTACCTGGCAGCCAGCCCTCAGCTTTCCCCTTTGGGGGGAACAGATGGAGCAGAGGGGACACCAGCATGGTGGGTTTATCCCCTGCAACTCTTCCCTGCTGGCAGGGACCAGCTCCTGACTTCACTTACCACGAACTGGTGGAGTTTGGATGGAGCTTTGATACCATGGAATGGAAAGATCACCTGTGCTTTGCTTCTTGCCAGTAAAGGTGTTTTTAGCCAGCTGCTCTCTCTGAGTGCGTCTGTCCATTCTGCCTCTCCCTTTTCAGGAAGCCTTGGGCCTGTTTCAGCTGAACCCAGATGTCTGAGCCTCAGAGAAGTTCCCTTCCCTGCCAGCTTTTTGCAAGTAGGCTGACAGGTGTGTGGTTAGGACTTGGTCAGCCCCCCTGGAGAGCTGGGAGGATGGGCTCTGCCTTGCTGGGCACTGGCAGAGGATGAGGATGTCAGTACAAAGCCTTGTGAGGGAGAAGCTGCTGGGGTGGTCACTCCAGACTCACACTGGTCTTACTTGCAAAGCTTTTATTGATTTCCAGGAACTCTGAAGCTTAACTTGTGCTTTCCCTGCTTCACAACCCCCAAGTCTGTTGAGAGCTTCCTAATAGTGGAACTGGGGGGGGGAACTGACCTGTGTCCATTACCTGTGCTATCCCCCTCCAGCTCCCTTCATAGGTCTCTAATCCTGTGCCAGGTCCTCTTACCTGGTGCAGGTGTGAGGGCACCCTGTGGTGCCTGCTGCCCAGGTGGGTGACACAGTCTGCCTGCCTGTGCAAGTGGCTGCAGGGCAGCTTGCTGTCCCCAACTCTGCCCCTGCCCTCAGCTGGGCACAGCTATGGCACCGATGGTGCCCATGGCCATGCCCGTTTGCCCTCATCCTGATGCTCGAGGGGCCACAGAGCTTGTCCTGGTTGTGAGGAAGGGTGGGTGGCACAAGAGGGGCTGAGTGCGCTGCAGATTGTTGCCAGCACCTGTGTGCCAGTGGAGGGAATTTGGGTGCAAGTGGCAGAGCTCTCCTGAGCCCTGCAGGCGGGGGCAGGGTGGGTGCTGACCTCCTGCCAGACCCGAGCCTTGGAACCCACCAGGGCACGTGCCCAGCTCACTGCGGTGGCCGGACCACGGAACGATAGGCCTGGATGATCTCCTGGCTATTGGGGCAGGTGTATTTGAACTCCTTGGTTTCACTGGCACTGTTGAGGTACCGCCACACGCCCCGCAAGTCCTTGGGGATCCCAAAGCGGCGGTAGTGCTGGCACACAACCTGTGGGTACAAACGGGGGAGACTTGCCTGACACTGTGCCAAGGATGCCTCTACCACCAGGGCAGGCACCAGCTGGGAAGGGTGGCAGGGAGCCAGGGACATTCATGGCACTGCACAGTGGAGGGCCGGCACTGGGGATGCAGAGAGGAGTGGGATCTGTGGGAGGGCATGGTGCTGGGCCGTGCTCCCAGGGAGAGGAATGCTGGAGGGCACAGAACTGAGAGCAACTGGGAAAGGAGCAGGGGCTTGCTGTAGGTACCAAGAGGAAAGTGAGGGCATAGGGATGTCAGGGAAAGGAGAAGGGCATGGTACTGGGATGCCCGTGGCTTACCTGAACAATGTTGAGCTTTGGCAGCAGGTTGCAGTCAGCCAGTGTGAGGTGGTCTCCATCAAGGAAATGGCGCTGGGAGACCCGGAGGTGGGGGTCCTGGGCCAGCTCGTGCTCCAGAGGGGCACTCAGGTACTCATCCAGCTTCAGCAAGGCCCGGAGCAGGCTCCGCTGCAGCGCTGTAGGGAGGGTGACCAGGTCACAGTACAGCCCTGCTCTGCTGTGGCCTCCTGCCAGCCCAGCCCAGCCCAGCCCAGCCCAGGTGTCCAGGCAGCACCTGTCAGCCTCTTCTCACCTGGCTCAGGGTGGCACCTACCTCTGCCCTCCCACAGAGGCCTGGCATAGCCCATATAGAGAGGGCAGTGCCTGGACAGACGTGACTGTGGACTCGGTGGGGGGACTGGGAAAGCTCAGTGTCACCAGGGTAAGCTTTGGGGTGTGGCACCCGAGAGGTTGCATGGGGTGCTCCCCCACCCGCTCCTCACCCTCATCCTGGGCAGGTACCGGGTTCTTGATGAAGGCAGAGAATTTGTGGAAAATGTCATTCCCAGCCAGGCTTGACTCTGGGTACTGTGGGACCAGACTGGGGCACCTGTGGGGATATGGGCACAGCTGAGGCAGGTACCAGAGGCTGACAGGCTCATGTGCTGTCAGCCCCCTCATCCCTCAGCTTGTCCTGCCCTTCTCTAGGGGGGCCCTTCCTCCTCTCAAGCTGGCACCAGCCACTGACAGGGGGGGGCTCAGCTGGTCCTCCAGGAACTCCTCGATGGTGATGGTGTCAGTCTTGGGCTCGCCGTTGTAGAGGAGGACGGGCAGCTGGGCACCTGGAGCGAAGTCCTTCAGCACGTCCAGTGCCCTGTGGGAGATGGGTAAACCACTGATGCCTGGCATGTCCAGGGTTCTGCAGGGCACTGTGTGTGTGTGTTCATACTGCGCACATTTCCCGAGCAAAGGGAGTTCTGGTGGGCTGGTGCACAAGGTGGTGCCCTCAGGCCCCTCCCGCCTCAGTGTGTGGCCAAGGAAATACCTGCCAACCTCCCCCAAGCACCAGTGGTCACTTGGGGAGGTACAAAAAGCTCCATGCATCCCATAATGCCCCACCCTTCACATCCCTTCCCAGAGTGGTGGGGACCTACCAACCTCCCACCCTGCACATGATCCTGGCCCCAGGGCTGGCACCCCTTGGGAGAGGGCCACCACTCACCTCTTCACGTCCACAGTGGTGAGGGTGAAGGGCACCCCTTTGAGCAGCAGCACCATGAAGAGCCGCTGGCAGAAGGGGCAGTGTCCTATGCTCTCCCCGTCCTCACTTGCCTGTGGGCACAGAAGGAGAGCTCAGCTGCCCTTTTGCCCTGGCATGGTCTCAGTGGGGTCTGTCCCAGAGGGTACAGGGTGAAGATGATAGGGCACATGCCCCAGCCCAGCCTGGCAAGCTGTGCTGCTGTCCATGGCACCTGCCATGCATGGTAAGGTGCCAGCTCCTGGCCCCTGCCTGCTCGCTGAGCCTCAGTGCCACACCCCAGAGCAGCCACATGGCACAGCAAGTGCTGGCCCTGGCACCCTCTGGGGACAAGGACATCCAGGCTGCAACAGCCTCACAGTGTCAGCAGGACAAGGACTTGAGAGCAGGTGTGGCAGCAGGGGTGGCAGTAGCAGAGGACAGTCCAGCAGCAGAGATGTGCCAGAGGAAGGTAACAGAGATACCGGTGGCCCCGTCAACCCCAGCCACAATCCCATGTGAATTCTGTCCTGGCCTGCACAGCCAGACAGACTGCCCTAGCCAGGTGGTTGCAGGGAAGGGCCTGGCAGGTGCAGGCAGATGCTGTGGTGCTGGCCTGCTGGGCCCTGTTTTCAGGGGGAACCTGGTCCAACCTCCCCAGGTTTAGCACCCACAGCCCCTGTGCCTCCAGGGCAGGAAGCGGCAAGCAGCCCTGGAAAAGAGCCCGAGCTGCCTGCTGCCTGTTCTGCTGCCTATCCCCCCCACCTGCCTGCTGTCCCCTTCCTGCCCCACTGTCTGTTGTCAGCCCCACTGCCTACCCAGTGCCTGACCCGCTGCCCGCTATCTGCCCCCCTGCCTGCCCGTGTCCACATCTGGGCACTGCAGTGGACAGGGGCAGCCCAGCCACCCCACCACAGCACTGCCAGAGTTGGTTGCCAGAGCTACCAGCGGCCTGGGGCACTGACCTGAGGACCCCCCTCACCTTGATGAAGAGCTGGATTTGGGGTTTTTCGGCCATGCTGCGCGGCAGCTGCTGCTGTACTGCTGTACTCCCAAGTGCCACAACTGAAACCACGGCCCCTCCCAGCCCACATTCCTCCTCAGGGTGCACCCGCTCCCACCCACGCCTGGCCCCATGGCACAGACAGGACGCCCTGCTGTGGGGCCCTGCCACCGTGGCTGCTGCCAACCCCAGGCCGGTAATGCAGCTGGTGGCATTGCCAGCTGCTGCCACTCCTGCCTGTACCCCCAACCACCCCACAGTGCTTGAATGACGACAAGCACTGGGCACAGACCTGTGTTGTGCCCCAGCACACACTGCCCATAGCAGGATCCTGAACCCCCACCCTGGCCACTGCCACTCTCCTCCTCAGCCCAGGCCCTCCCAGGTGCCCAGCCCTGCCATTCCCCCCATGCCCAACTACACAGCCTCAATGGATTCAGTTATTATTTTTTATTTAAAACGGTCATTATTTTCACATTTCATCTTCTTTTTGTTTGGTAGCAATATACAGGCAGCTCCAAGATGTCCCCACCCCCAGGGGCCCCACGCCCGCGGCTGAGCATGGCACTGGCGCCATGCCCACGGCTGGTGGCCAAGGACGTGGAGGGGGAGGCAAGGCTGGAAGTGGGGCCAAACTCAATCAAGTGAACAGTGTTAAGGCAGCAGCCACCCCTGCCCTGGGGTGCTACCTTCCTGCTCCACCCTTGGACTGACTCCAGCACAGCAACTGTGCCTGGGCAGGTCGGCCACTGTGGCCACCCAGGCTGTGTGGGCACCTCCACTGACCCTCAGAAGCCATGCAAATGATGGCATGGTGGCAGGGGGAAGACTGGGTGGACAGGGAAGACACTGTGACTGGGTGCCAGTGCTCTTCTGGAACCTGGAACAAAAGCGTAGTGTGGCAGGTATGGGGCAAGGATAAAGCCCAGAGCATAACAGCACTGCCCACTCTGGGGTGCTCCAGGGTGCCACCAAGGTGACAGCTGGGGACTCAGAGATGACACTATCCCCTCTCCCTGATGGCAAACGGCAAACTTTGAGCTGGCTTGTCCCCCAGCATCCCCTGGGGAAGGTAGAGTGTGTCAAGCATAGGAGCAGGGGCACATTGGTGGGGGCTGCACCCCTGTGCCCTCCAACCCATCCCAGATCCAGCCAGTTTCCCATATGCCATTTAGAAAAATGGTCTGAAAAATCTGAAAATAGAGCTTCTTCTCCCAGTTTTCCCCCTATCGAAAATACTGTATATTGTATCACAATCCATAGCAGGTGGTATATGGGCCTGATAGGACCAGGGGGCATGGGGACAGTTGAGGTCAGGCCCTGCTCCTGTGCCCAAGGGGGGCCAGAGCCAGCCTCTCTCCACCTCCCATAGCAACCAGCTGAGGTGCCTGGTGCTCCTCAGGGCCTCCAGCCAAGCCTGTGCCAGGAAAGCAGAAAGGGCATCGGAGCACAGGGCAGACAGACTATGGCTGCTCCCCAGGAAGGTGCATAGCCGCCCTGGGGGATTGCCAAAAACTGTGGCACCCAGCGGGGGGGGCAGGTCAGCATCACAAGCCCACCTCTGGGCACAGCTGCAACTTGTTGAGAGCTGCAGGCGCCAGCCATGGTCCCTGTGGGTGACAAGGCAGCAGGACCCTCTGCAAAAAGGAGGAGCACTGCTGACTAAGGGGGTGCCCACTGCTGGCCAGTGACACTGCCAGCCCCACTACCAGCCCCACTGCCAGCCCCAGTCCATCCTTCTCTCCCCTCCACCCCAGGCACCACTGCCAGGCTGCTGGCACCCACCGCGACTGTCCCGACCTCGTACCTTAAGGCCACTCCACCACCAGCTTCCAAAGTCAAGCTGGGGTGCTGCAACCCCTCTCCCAGTACCACCAGTGACCCAACAACAAGAACCTAGTGCAGCTGGTTCCCGTACAGGGCTGGACACTGAGGAACAAGTGTCAGGACAAAAGTGAAGTGGAAAGGGACACAGCAGAAAGGTGGCAGGGCGGCAGCAATGCCCTGTGATAGGGGAAGCAAGTGGTGAGGGCAGGCAGGAGGCAGGATCAGAGACTTGAGGGTGGGTGACATGACTAGGGGCAGAGGGGAGAAACAGCTGGTGCCAGCATGTGAAATACCCTGTGAAATACCCCTCTACGCTGCCACATGCCTCTGCAACAGCACTGTTGCCTGGGGACGAAGCCAGTGCCCAAGGCCAGGCAGGGCCAAGGCGAACAGACCCTAGGGTGGGCAGGATGTACCAGTGAGGCCAAGACTCCCGCTGGTGACAGAAATCAGTTATGGGTGAAGGACCAGAGCACCTGCCCAGTGGTGCCCAGGGCAGCATCAGCCAGGGGGATGTGGATGCAGCCATCCTTCTTCTAGCTCCATGGGGCCAGGCCTGGGGAGGTACCTACAGCCAAAGGTCCCCAGAGTGAGTGCAACAGGAGTGTCCAAAGGCACTGCTCACAGGCCTGTGTGTCTGCCCCAAAGTGAGTGGGGCTGGCAGTGCTGGCAGCAAGCCATGTCCTTTCCTTCAGAGTCTCCATCCATGGCATGTTGAGGACTATGCCCCCAGCACCATGTGGTGATGCTGCTCCAGGGCTGAAGGGGGAAATAGCCACCCCAGTGGTGGCTTCCAAGGTCCATCCAGGCATTGCCGTACCCACTGTGTCCTCCCTGGCATGTGGCTCCAGCTGTGGCAACTCCACTCCACGGGGCAAAGGGAGGGGAGAGGCCAAAAGGGTTTGGTGGCTTGACAACACAGCTGTCCCTGGGGTCTCAGCACAGCGTGTCCGTGTTGAAGGAGAGCTGAGCCTGGGCAGGGAGATAAGCAGGGCTCAGCGGCTGCCCACTTAGCCAGCATACCCAGGGCATCAGAGTCTGGCACAGGCGGCAGAGCAGGGAGCCCCCACCCCTCCCAGGCCCAGCCACTCCATTTTGTCACCTCTGTGGTGTCACAGCACTGAGTCCCAGGGCCTCTGACACAGACACAAGTGGGACCAGGAACACCCAGATCTGGGGACAACCTCTCACCCTCTCCTCCTCAAAGCTGATGAGGCCTTCGTCATCAGTCTCCAGGTCCTCCTGCTCCTCCACCACGAGGGCCCGCAGCTCAGTGGGGGTGGTGCGGGGGCGCAGCAGGCTCAGCACACGCTCCAGGGGTGACTGCAGGACACAGCTGGGGCTGGTCTCCTGCTGCTCCAGGTTGTCACTTTGCTTCTTGGCAAAATTCACAAACACCTGAGGAGAAAGGGGCAGGAGACTCAGGTATTTGCAAGCACCTCCATCCCATGCTTGCCAGGTCAGGACCCAGGACATTCTGCTGTGTGGTGGCCGTCACCATACTCCCCATCTAGCTCCAACCCCTGCCCCAAAGGCAAATCCTGCCTGGCACGTTGGCACTCCCCGAAGAGAAGCATCCAGCTGCCCATGCTGTCCCGTCTTACATTGTCCAGTGTGGTTTGGCTGACAGAGTAGTCTTCAATGCCCAGCACATCTACCACCTGCTCCATCTTGCTGAAGACCTGTGCCAGTGAGATCTGGTCTGACTTCAGCTGGTACTGGGCCTTGGTGTGATGACGCTCCTGGGAGGTGATCACAGAGAGGACACTGAGCTCTCACTCCCTGACTCCCTCCCATCACCTGATGGAGGATGAAGGCTGCTTCTGCCCTGAAGTGGGGGCTGGCAGGGGACAGCATGGCCACCATGGGCAGCTCACCTTGAGGACAGCCTCAGGGAAGTTACGGTTGAAGAACCTCACCACCTCCTTGACATTGAGGCTGGACTTGGTGCGCACTGTGATCATGTAGCCATCACCAAACCTGCACAGGAACAAGGCACCGAATGAGGACCTGTCCTCTCATCTGCTCCCCCATGACCCTATGGAAGGGGACCATGCTCTCAGCCACTACTGGACACCAGGTCAGTGGCTGGGCACTTCAGTGACCCTATTCCTGCCCACCTCTAAAGCAGCACCCACACAGAGGGCTGGTATCTTGTCACAGATGCCACACTGTCACCCAACGATGGGGATCCAGCCCCCTCCTGCCCAGTGGAACACAGGCTGCTGGGCCCCATGCAGGCATTCTGAGCTCTTGCAAGGCTCTTACCTGTTCTTCAGGTGCTGAATACTGCCAAGACACTTGAGCCGCCCGTTCACCATGATGGCCAGGCGGGTGCAGAGGGCCTCGCACTCCTCCATGCTGGGGTGACAAGGGAGGGTTCAGAGGAGGGCATTGGAAAACAGTGCCAGGGCTGTGGTGGGGGTAGGTGGAGAGCTGGGCCTCCCAGGCCATCACCCAAGTGCAGTGGCCCCACCACCAGGGATGAGAGAAGGCAACAGAGGGTGTGTCCCAGGCTCCCCTTGCTCCTCATGCCAGAGACTGGGGAGCCAAATGCTGGGGAGCCCTCTCCCTCCCACACAGCACCCCAGGTGCTTGGAGGCATCATGAGCACAAAACCCCTCTGGACCTGTGAGACGTGAGCACCACGGAGCGACCCGTTTTGATGACATCCAGGATGAGGTTCCAGAGGAAGCGCCGTGCCTTAGGGTCCATCCCTGTGGTTGGCTCATCCTGGGGGATAGACAGCACCCTCAGACATGTGAGCCTTGGGACGGACCCTGCCACTCCCTTCCTGTCCTGAGTCCAGCTCAGGCCACCATCCCACACTCCAGGAGATGCATGGTGTGTGGTGAAGCAGGGGGTTGGGCACCTCCCACTTGGAGTAATTTTTCTACCCTCAGAGCGCACCAAGAAGATGAAGGCTGGATATCCAATAAGCGCAATGGCTGTGGATAGCTTCCTCTTGTTGCCCCCACTGTAGGTGCTGGCAGGCTTGTCTGCATACTTGGTCAACTCCAGCTTCTTCAGTGCCCACTTGACCACCTGCAAGGCATGGGGGACTGCTGTCATCCTGCCAAGGCCACAGGACTGGCAGAACAGGCAGGGGTTGGGCTCCCTGGCACATCAGCTGCTGAGGGGACTACTAGCCAAGTGCAAATCAGGGAAGCCCCACGGCAGCCCCTGGCACAG